TTCTATATTTTAGATGAGAGAAATATAAGTTGCTGGATTTGTTTAGTGATAATGTACTTGCTATGTATTTTTAAGTATCAGTATTTTTTTGTTTTAATGTATTTAGTAAGTAATACGTGTAACTGATGTCACAAAGGAGTGATAATTTACAGGAGGATTGTAAAGTCAATATGGGTATTTGTAATAGCCTGTATAGTGAAATATATAACATGAGGGCAAAATATTTTCACTTCATACACTAGAGATCATGAAGACCCGCATCTTTATAAAGTTCTTCAATCAGTACTCAGCAGGGGTGGTGTCAAGGAAGAGTAATGGCCAGGAATGATGGAGGTTGCACGTGTGTTATGGTCTCTTTCAATGGAGAGTAATGGCCAGGAATGATGGAGGTTGCATGTGTGTTATGGTCTCTTTCAATGGAGAGTAATAGCCAAAAATGATGGAGGTTGCATGTGTGTTATGGCCTCTTTCAATGGAGAGTAATGGCCAGGAATGATGGAGGTTGCACGTGTGTTATGGTCTCTTTCAATGGAGAGTAATAGCCAGAAATGATGGAGGTTGCACGTGTGTTATGGTCTCTTTCAATGGAGAGTAATAGCCAGAAATGATGGAGGTTGCATGTGTGTTATGGTCTCTTTCTTTTCTTATGTCCATCAACTTTATTTAATTATATTTTTTCCTATCAGGAATTGATTCGTACCAATGTAACATAACCTATGGCAATTTATTATTGGTAATCAATAACACATAGATTAAGAATTCTGATTAAGAAGCTAGCACACAGGACCACATACAATATATGTAATGGTTTTCAAACGAGACTCAAAACTCGAGCGCTTTCGAATCGTTCACTATTCTTCTTCAGGATAATAAAGAAGAATAGTGAACGATTCGACAGCGTTGACTTTTGAGTCTCGTTTGAAAAACATAGATGAAAAAAAAAACAAATTTTGTTTCTTACTAGGTGAATAATGTAATGTATTTACTGGTCCGTGGATCTAAGGTGGAACATCATCCTGTCAAGGTATAGTAGTGTCTGGACATGATGAAGAAGGGATAGTAGTGTCTAGGCATGATGAAGAAGAAACAGTAGTGTCTGAGCATGATGAAAAGGGTTAGTAGTGTCTAGGAATGATGAATAAGGGATAGTAGTGTTTAGGCATAATGAAGAAGAGATAGTGTCTGGGCATGATGAAGAGGGGATAGTTGTGTCTAAGCATGATGAAGAAAGGATAGTAGTGTTTAGGAATGATGAAGAAGGGATGGTAGTGGCTAGGCATGATGAAGAAAGGATAGTAGTGTCTAGGCTGATGAAAAAGGCAGATGAGAACCTTTTCATCGCCCAAAGTGTACATGAGCAATGTTTTTACTTTGGATATCGGGTGGAAAGCAATCTTGCATGAACGTGATATTCTTGACACATCTACACTGTTGGAGTTCTGGTAAGACACGAGTGTGCAACAACTCACGATAAACATTGTGCAGCCAATGTTCAGTGATAAACCCATGGATAATCGCTTCCCATGTAAGAATGGCTCCAGGACAGAGAAACTGGACTACATGATGATATTTGGATAATGTAATAGTAGTTCTACTAGGACTGAATTTTCATTGGTCATAGAAACAAAATAATAAAAAGCACGTGACCATGAAAGATGAAGTGGACCTCATAATTTATCTATGGAATCCAATATGACTAGTTTTCGCCAGTTCAACATTTGCTCTGACATGAACTTCAATGCTAAAGATTTTTAGAATTCATAATCACACAAATATGATCTTATTGAACGTGCTTGAAAGTATATAGATTAATACGAAAAGCAATGCCCCAAACATTCTGCACAGTTGATTCTTTCGGTGTGGCACATCCTGGGCACTGATTATACCATAAATGGATCCTGTAGGGAGCTTTCAGTGGTGTAGAGCAGCTCTATAACATTGTTTGTTGATGTTTTGCGGAATCTCTGACCTTGGATGTTTGAATACATTTCCTGTCTCTAAGAATTTTCTAACTAATCTGCTGACAGCAAAAGGTGTGCATGAACCACATTTTTTATGTTGCCTCTGCTACATCAGTATTGCATCCATTTTGATGGTATACATCCGACAACGTTATCCACTGTTCTGAACCTAACATTGTATTGTGCTTTCCACAGAATAACGGTTGCCCCTTTTATTTTATTTTTGTAGTGTTTTCTTTCCTGGTGAAAATTTAGTGAATAACCTAAGTGTGGCCATGAATTGAAATATCTAAACCATCCATTTATTGAGCAAAGAATTATAATTACCTTTAACTAAGTTGTATGGTAAGCGATAATTTCGTCAAGACGAAGTGGTTGTAGCTATGGAATGGAATTGTGTTGAAAGGGGATTTCGATTGATAGTTTTGGTATAAGAAGAGAAAACTAAGCGAAAAATACCATTTATATACCAGACGATTTGTTAAGTGCATCGTTCTTTAGTGTCGTTTCCAAAAATTAGTTCAATGTCCTTCCTACGATACACATCCTGCAGACTGTTCCAAATACCAACATTGAATTTATAGCCACTCTGTAATCCACGTCATTCTTTACTCTACAATAGAAGCTTGCTTGCATGCAATACGAAAAGTAGATGATAATATATCAATTGCACCTTAACTGTTGTGTGCCGCTGCGATAGCAATTAATATGTTCTATGTTTCAAGCAACATTTATATTTTGATTTTACCAGCTTTAGGTGACAATAGTATGTTTATTTTACTTATGTAACAGTTGAAGAAGTTAACGGTAATTTACTTATTGTTTATTTCAGGTATCAATACTATGATATGTTTTTTTTTTCACTGTTTTATATAGCGGCAATATTTATATTTGACTTAGGTAACAATCATGTTCTTATTCTGCCGGTTTTGTTATTTGTGATTTTTTTATAGCGTCTGTGGTTACCAGCACTTCCAAAGAGCGGGAAGTCTTCACGTTAACCTGTTTGAAAGTCTGTATTTTGTTGTGGTGACTTTCTCTACGGTAGGGTATGGAGATTATCGACCTGACTGCTTTCCTTCTCAGCTCTTCATGGTGATTATGATCTGTGTTGCATTAATTGTCCTACCAACACAGGTACGTTGTACCAAAGGAACCTTCAGGAGAAACATGTGCATGATCTTTTGTATTTACGATCTCTTAAAAATACAAGATCTATGTACTAATGTTATATTCAATGCTGAAAACTTTTCACATGTTTAAAAAAGTGTGTAAAGAAACTAAGTTATCATTCATAACACTGTGTGAGGTTATTAAATATTGTAAACAAATTTAGCTTAAATTATAGATAAATTCCTCAAAAAACTTTATTTAAGTTATATTCCGTATTATAAGTGACAAAATTCAGGGCTTATAACGATCAAATTCGAGTTCGTTCCCTAAGGTACATACAGTATAAAATGTATATATAAATTGACAGAAGTCGCAATTTTAAGTTGATGCTTTTAATGATTTACTTTTTTTTTTATCAAATAATAAAATTTCAGTTGCTTGAAAGCCGTTGTGCTATACTAACAAGATAACCTGTCACTGGACGGATTGAAGTTCGACAGAAAATTTATAAAAAAAAAATATTTTCAAACTTCAGATAGTTCGGCAAATAATTTTGAAATTCGATAAATTTATTCAGTTATCAACAGTTACGAAGTTAACCGGTATTCGGTAGTTCTTAGATTAAGTTATTTGACTAGCATTTATAAAGTAAAACACCTAGAGACCCACACACAACACAGCATATTATATCATAAACTCGTAACTTAAATATGGGAAATCCTTGATTAGTTTGGAGAAGTTTGAGCCTTTTCTCATTTAAATATTTGATTTCTGAAGTTAAGACTTACATTTCTTTAACTCAATTATTCAAATTCGACTTTCTCTTTGTAAGAATGTTGTATATAAATGAAAATATAACAAATCTGCTAATAAGAACAATATTTTCCCATTCTATGATTTACCTTATCGTTCTACCCAATCTATTTTGTACCTGCAGTATCCCCTAGTGCCATTTCCAGTAACTAGTATTTATTTTCTTTCGTCAACTATTGTTATTGATCTGGTTTTATTGCAAAGCTATATAATGGAATATCTGCGCTCTATCTATCGTGAAGAATCGAACCCTGGATTTTAGCGTTGTAACTTTTTCTAACTAATCATGTTACTTTATGCAAGCCAATCACGTGTCTTGCACGATCTACAGGTCGTAACATGAAGAACAGTGCTAGTAATAGGATTGTAAGTAATACAGATATATCTAATATATATTTTAGTTAGATCGATGAGATCTAATAATATAACTTGTTTCTTCGAAATCTCACCACAGTGTAGTACGCTATTATTTTTAAAGCGTGTGTATATATTAAGACTAATTTAGTACAAAACATATCTAAATTCTAGAATAAAATCTTTTGGAAATTAACCATGGATACATTTCTACGTTTATCGTATAAAGTTTGCCACTTTCAGCTACTATCTAAGTTTATGAGCTCGTTGATTTATAAAGGAACAGTCCCTCAGTTTTAGAAAACAGTAATTTTCAGATATTGTAGGACATGTATTATGACAGAAAACTTTGAAATAACGAGTCAGTGAAAAAAAACAAAACATTTACTCATTTTTAATGATGCTCTTTAGTCTCTGAACTTCACCTCTGCTTATCCTTGATATAATAAATACTATACTCTGATGATTATGTATATATTTTATTTGTGTACAATAATATATTCTTAGCTGAACATGTATTTTAATTAGGCTTATGTAAACAAGATTACTAAACCCTTCAATACTTATATATGTTTTCAAATATTAAACATTTTTTTTGCTTTTCGTTAAAATAAAAAAAACTAAAATGGGTTCAAAATAAACAGTAACATAAAGTTGATCGTTATGTTGACATTGATGCTAATATCATCAGGTTTCTCTGTCTAATGCAGATGCTACAGATGGGATATCTGCGCAAAGTCTTCCCTAATTCTGAACTGATAAATTACGGGGAAGATAGCTAGTGAATGGCACCATCGCAAATTATTGGCTTACTTTTGTCTATGGGCATTTGACGTCACTCTCATAACGCTTCCGTGAGTTTAAAGTGCGAAGAGCGTTTTTTTTTTTCAGCAACAGGACGCGAACCTTGAACTCTCGGATTCACAATCCGTGTAGGCCAGGTGGTTAGGGCGCTCGACTCGCACTCTGAGGGTTGCGGGTTCGAACCTCCTTCCCACCAAACATGCTCGCCCTTTCAGCTGTAGGGACGTTATAAGTTACGATCGATCCCACTATTCGTTGATAAAAGAGTAGTCTAAGAGTGAGCGGTGATGACTAGCTGCCTTCCCTCTAGTCTTACACTGCTAAATTAGGGACGGCTAGCGCAGATAGCCCTCGTGTAGCTTTGCGCGAAATTCAACAAAACAAACAAACAATATACGCACGCTAGCAACTGGCATTCATCTAACATTAACGTCAACGAAAAGATAAACTTTATGTGAGTTCGTGTTTGTTTTTAATATATCCATTTTAGTTGTCGTAGTTATACTGTTGATAAAATCATAAATAATATTCAACGTTAAAACTGGTACATGTTTCGACGTTGCAACTCCTGTACCAGTTTTAACGTTGAATATTATTTATGATTTTAACTTTATACACAAAATAGAATAATTATAAATTTTTCC